CACATCGTTTTCCCAGAAGGCCCAGCCCTTGAGTTGTCAGCCGCGTAATGTAGGATTGCCCTGTTCTGAAACAAATGGGAGTCAGCTGGACCTTGCAGGAGCATCGACAGAAGTGGTCAGAAATGGATTGCCCTGTTCTAAAACGAAGCGGTCCCAAACGAACCCGTAACGAGGGGGAAAGCAAAAGAAGAAAGAATGAGAACTGTAAAAAGTATAGGAAAAAACATAAGGTAATATTAAAAGAGATCTATCTGCATATCCATTTCTAGTTCTTATTATTTAAGAATTTTCTTTTAATTTTTGTTTTTCTATCTGTGCAAAATGAAGGACGAGTTCCAAAAGCTGTGGGAACTAGCGCAGAAGTTTGGAGGACCTGAGAAAATGGACCAAAAGATTAATGACATGGAAGCTAAGTTACGTACACTAGAGGTAATTGAGCAGCAATTCCGGCAGAAGGTTAATGAAACGGAAGCTAAGTTACGTGGACTAAATGGAATTGGGCAGGAATTCCATATGCACCAGCAAATGGCAACTGAGTTCCATAGACCCGAGAAGTTTGATGGGATTGAGGAAATGGATTCCAAGTTACCTAGATTCAACCAAATAAATTCCACGATCAGGGAGATTCACGAAATAAATGGGCCTACGAACATATTCCAGTACATTCCAAATAAGCAAATGGAGTCCTCGAACCACCAAAATGCACAGGTATCTCTCTTGTCCCTAAAAGTGTTCTTTTATATTTTAGTTGATCAGGAAAAACACAAATTGATCTTTTAATATTCTACCTTTTGGTGATCCAATACTGGATGACTCATCATTGAACTTACACTCAAAACCAAGATTTGGACACTATGAAAAAACAAATTATATTCTTTATTTCCTAACTATTGGTGGCTCTGAAACAGTATTTTGCTGCCTTTGCTGTGAGCCTTTGAATAATACTCTATAATTTGCAGCATACAGACTATCATGGAACGCAGTCACAAGTGCAAGGATCGACGATTGACTGGGAATGTCACATTTTGTTGCACTGCTTTTGTTTGTTGAATGAACTTTTTTTTGGGCCAATAGAATGAGGATGAGTATGCCAATTGTTTTATTTTTGCTTTTGCACTCACTTTCTGATTAATTATGTGCCCCAAGAAGATAAAGTTTTGTCTGGTAAATTTTATAAGTTTTCAATAATTCTAGCTTAGACATACTAACTTGATCTTTTAGCTCTTTAAATAAGGAATTTGTTTCCTCATTTAATCAAACATGCATGTTGACATTAATTGCTGTGTGAAGCGTACAAACTTCTATTATTTTGATTTCCAATTATTAGTTAGACTAATTTTTACTGAAACTTTCATGTATGCAATATGAATTATAGTGTTTGAATTATATTCCTTGTGGGAAGAAGTTTATAAGTACTTCTCTATGCAACAATATTGTTATTTTAGTGTTTTTTTTTACTATAATTGTCTTTATGGATGTGATTTCCTTACTCTTTAGTACATCTTTTACTTTTATTTGGATTATGTTTGAGATCTCTTCAACCTATTATTGGATTCAGTTGGAAGGTTATGAAATTAGTCAGATGTTTCCTGCGGCTGCGCTTGGGACGGTGCCTGACCTCGTATATTCTGCTGCGGGATTGAATGAATTTATTGCCCAATTTGATGAGTATGAAATGACCAACATACGCTTGTACGGATTTAACAATTTACATGGAGAGTGCCAAATTGTTGGAGACTATACTTTCACGCAGCCCTTGGACTGTAGTGATAATGATATATTCAATACTGAACACAGTGATGCTACACGAAATGACCAAAGTACATTCAATTGGGCCCTTACCAATAACCAATTTGATTGGCTTTTAGGTTAGATGCTTAGTGGAGGAGATGCTTAGGGGAGGAGAGGATTGCGGATATAACTTCTGCTGTTCCTAACCTTCTATTGGAGACTATTTGTGTGGGGGTTCCATATTTCCATTCCCTCTTACTGTGCTAAACTCTGATTTATAAAGTCCTCTTTTCCTCTATCCCAAAGAAAAATCCACTGATTCTCTTCTAGCTCGGTAATTGGAATTTTTTCCTTTCTAATTTACAGAGATTATCATGTAAAAAAGCATTGGTTTGTGGCAAAATCTAGAGTTTTTTCCAGGTTTCTGTAACTTGAATTACCCATTGTAATCTCTGTAACAAGCATCATAGTAGTTTGAAGTTTCCATTGACACAAGGTATTTCCAAATCTGAAAGTCATTTCCCATCAGTTCAAAATGCTGCTGCTATAGTTTACTCATAAATGTGGCAAAAGCCAGAGCTGAAAACAGCACAAAATAAGGAAAAAAAAAAAAAGGGATATGAAAGCTCAAAAATAATTCAAAGTTTCACACTTTCAACTTCATTTACAACATTTGGATTAATGAGCTGGACTAAAAACATTGTTAACCTTAAAATCCTACAATTGTTCCTCAGTTTGCAGTTCAACCCTCAATAGCCAACCAAACAAAACAATAAAGTCAATTGATGAAAGTTGAAGTACAATGAAAACTGCAATTAAACAGCTAAAGGACCCCATTGGCAGACCCAGTTTCTCCCATTATCTCCATAATCTGCTTCTGCATCAACTCAGCCTTCTTAGCCACCAATTTAGCTTCTTCAACCTTTATCAATACCCATTCTTGATCCATCTTCTTCAACTTCTCCTCTTCCAACCCCTTCATCCTCTCTTTCCACACCTCATTGTCAGGCAAAACCCTCGAAAACTCAGCCACTAAATAAGGGAACTTGTCCAAATCCCAAACTCCATCTCCCTTTCCACTTTCCATTCGCTCTTTTGCCTTCTTTGGGGTTATTTTCTTGCCCCATATTCTTTTGAAAGCTTGAATATCCTTCGGTCGTGATGGGTTCTTACGAGGGACTTGGTTCTTGCATGTTTGTGGTACTTCATTCTCAGTCTACGGACCTTGTCGTTGATTTGGGAAGGAGTGAACTGATAGTTGAGACGCTTGACGATACGGTTGATTGTTGGGGTACCAACGGTTGTGATCGGTGGAGATACGGATTTGGTGGCTCTGATTAAACATCTTAGGATCTGGGTTTCGTCTGATTGGCTGAAAACTCTTGAGGATCGGCCGTTTGGAGTGGTGGAAGGTGCGGGGGTTGACATGGTGAGACAAAGAATGGTAAGTTTTGGAGCTGCAGTTGGAATTTGCAAAGGAAGGTTCCAATTAGATGGGTATCGGAGAAGAGCACTAGCCCATTACTAGGGCGCCGCGCAGTTCTTTTCTAATTTTCAAAGGTTGGCATGTCAGGCTTCACAGGCAAGTGGGTTGGGCCTCCATCATGAGTGGGCAGGCCTTCCCACGTCCGAAAAGGTTTAGAATGTGTGTTTAGATGAAATTTTACGTTAATTTAAAATAATTAATTTTAAAATTAATAGCATGTGTTTAGCCCTATCAAGGCGCCTCCGTTAATTTACTAAATATAGAGACGCCTCCACGAGATTACCAAAGATGGCATGTGAAGGCTTCTCAAATAAATAGGTTGGAGCCTTTTTATCTTTCATAAATCGAGGCGCCTCCGCTGGCTTTCTAAATATAGAAGCGCCTCCACGAGATTACCAAAGATGAAGGCTTCTTAGATAAATGGGTTTGGGCCTTTATCTTTCATAAATCAAGTTTTTTTGTATCGAAAAGATTTGAAGTGCGTGTTTAAATGAAATTCTGCGTAAATTTAAAATAATTAATTTTAAAATTAATGATGTGTATTATTTTTTAAAAAATAAAATAGAATAAATGATAAATGGGGAAAATCACAAACCAATTTATCATACCATTGAAGGGAAAATCCCTAGAAAACGATTTCTAAGAAACAAATCGAAAGACTAGAAGTTGAAGGTATGCCAAAATTTTGAAGATTGTAAAATTAAAAATCATACCAATTTAGTACTCTATATATGTTTCGACTTTAGGCTTTTGGGCAAAGATGAAGCTAAGGATAAACCATTATGCATGAGATCAGTCCACCTTGGTCCAGCCCATTTGGTTTTGCTCTTTGACACACATACGAGCCCTATGTCTTATGTGTGTCATCTTTAAGACTCCAATTCTATACCTGACTCGTTTCACGCTTTCACTAATCAAAACTCATAAAGTATTCTTGTTTTCTTCTCTGCAGTCCAACTGAGAGTGGCTTACAATTCTAATTCATTTCATTCAGGTAATTGATTTCAGATTCAACAACCTCTCTCCCTAATGGGTTTCTCTTTAAATCTTGTTTAAAGATTCTTTCTTTCTCAATTTTTTATTTATCTCTATCCTTAAAAAGGCTATTATTTTCCTTGTTCTATGTTTATTTTTTTATTCTTGAAGTGGGATTTTGTCCGATACTTGTATTTTTTGGTCATTCACTCATTTGAGAATAATAAACTACAATAATTACGGCCTAGGCTCTACAAGTTAGAATATGATGGATTAGTTTTAAGTTTATTTCTAGAATATGATGGAGTAGTTTTAAGTTTATTTCTTTGTATTGATTCTGCTTACGTTTGCTTTAAAATTTACAACTACAATGGAACAAAAGAGAAGCAATTAGAACTTAAAATTTTGGTGGTGAAGGTTAGTGTCTTGTAGTGGAAATCTCCGATTTTCAGGACTGGTCAAGTGATCCCACTTTGCGATTTCAAAATGGTTGTAGTGAATTCTGGCAATTATGCTGTTGATAGTTGCTGAGGCCAATTGTCTTAGCATATACGAGCATCCTTGAGCTGTGAATTGAGGCAAGTTTGCAGGCATATTGGTCTTAACCATTTGTATAAATTTCATGCTTTCAGTGGAAAGATTTGTGCTTTACATGCCTGTGATAATCAGCGGGAGTGAAAACCTGCTGAGCTAGTCTACACAGATTTGCAGGTTAGATAGAGGTTCATATGGAACCTCTATTTGCTTTTTGGTAACACGTAGCTGAGCTTCTCAAACTGGAAATTTTGCAGCATTTTTAGATCATTGCTTATAGTGCTCTTAAGAATGAACTTAGCAGTTCTAGTTTTCTTTTTGACCCTCATTTTCTGTTCTGTAGGTAGTTTGAGCTAGCTTCAGCGATTCTAGAATGCCATTTCTTTTATTTGTTATTTAAAATGTATGGGTTAACATGTAAAATTTCGTACTGATAACGGAGTTAACAACAATTTCTTTTACATGTTAGGTCTCAGTCTTTCTTTTTTGAACTTGGTTTATAATCCCAATGGCACGAACGCGGAATGTCATGGTTGCCTCTGGCTTATTGGCTTTTGCAGCTGCAGGCTTAGCATTTCCATTTTATTTTGCGTAAGTACACTTCTTTCTCAACCACAATGTGTTGTTGAGAGCTATATTTATCAACCTGCAAAAGTTGAATAATGGTTGTATCATCCAGGACATCCAGGAGACCTGTGGACTCATCTAAGCCACTTCCTCCGCAGGCAACTTTTCGAGGGCCTTACATAAACACTGGTTCACGAGATGTTGGACCTGATCACCAGACTTACCCAAAGAAATGATCCTTTTTGTTTGAATAACTGCTGTTGGCTGTAAGTGAATGTATGCTTACTGCACACTATGTGAATTCACAATGTGTTTGAACTTGGGCATTCTTTTGGACTAATGGAGGCGTCTGTGGAGGCTGATCTATAAATTCACTTTGCTTTCTACAGCATTATGAGTGATAGTTTGTTTGGTACTATCATGGAAAAAGACAAGTGAATATGAAATTTTTATTTTGTAATAACTCAAATGTGAAAAAATTATGACATCCGCTATTAGCTTCTGCTTCCATTATTTGAATTGGAATATAAAATTGACTCAGCAAGATTTCTGGAATTTTTTTATCTCTTTGTGGATATCTTGTTCCCGTGCACTAGCTAAGAGTTCCTGCGCTTATGGTTGATATGTTGATCTTATCTTTCAATATACTGACTTCTGCAAAAAATATATTGTTTTGCTTTCTCGTATAAATCGAGGACATAATGTGAAAAAGGAAAGAGCAAAGAAGCAAATATTTTGTTCTGCTCTTCTATGCCTCATGATCTTATCCCTTTTGTTTGTTTTTTCCTGATTTATTTAATGTTATTATTTTTAACACAACATGAAATGTGAATATGATTCATTAAATATTCACGTTCACTCGAGTGTGCAACTTTTGAAATGTTGCAGTGTGGGTAACAGCCCTCAAGAGTAGTTTTCACTTTTGATGGATGGTACTTTGATGCTTGATATTTTATGGCCAAAAATGGTTTGCTATGTTATGTTCTTAAGTAGTTTATATATATAAGGATCAATTTACTCAGTGAAACTAAAAAAGTTTTACATATTTTTTTACCCATTGATTTCAATAAATGTAGGGGGATGAGATTAAATCATATATGTTTTTAATTTTTACTTGTCTTTCTCATCTCTTAGATCTATTGAAATTAAATTTTAGAAAAATATGTAAAACTTTTTTAGTTTTACACTGTATAAGTTGATCCCTTCTCTATATATAAAACTTTCTCATTTGTCAATTTATTGCTTCATGGTTGGCCGCCTGCACTTCTTGCGACAGAGCATGCTTTTTCTTGCATCTTTATAACATTTATTGAAGAGGAGATTTCATATATATGTCATGGGGATCATTGGATGTCATTCTTATGCTGAATATAGACAGAGTCATGAGCCAACTGATTGACCTTTCTGAAGACTTTGGGGCATCAACGTATTATCCAACATCTCCCAAAATTTTCCTATCCTTTTCCCCTACCGTATTCACTTCTTACTCAAAATTATATTTCTTTTATAGAAGCTGATGATCCTCCCCCCCTTCTCTTCTACTTCTATATTTTGTTCACTGCTCTTCATTAACATAGCACTCTCTTTATAGTTAAGGTCATGCCTATATTATTTTAGGTTATGCTCAAGCTAGTTTGGTCGACTCCTTAAATATTCAGTATTCATAACTAGGGCTTAAAAAGTTATGCTCACTTTCCATTATTTGGTCTCTAATTTGCATAATCCAAGGGGAAAAAGGGTTATTTACCCAAGATTACGGCTCCATTTGGGAGCTCGGTGGAGCATTATCACCGGAGAGGTGATTGGACCCCCCATCTTAACCACATGTGAAAGAGTTATGTCAGTGTCTTGCTGACACACATTGGTTATGGGCTGTTTAACTTATGATTGTGCCAGTTTCTAGTGTTATTGAATTCTTCCACAGCGGATCTCCATTTCTGCATTATTGCCATTGAAGAAGCTTAGCTTTGTTGCCATCTGAGTTCAGCTTATATGGCATGAGGTTGCTGTGGGAGGTTGTCACGGTTGAAGGCATAATGTCCTCCGATAGGTAAGTGATCGGGTCAGGTAGGGTAGATTAGACATCTAAAAAAATTGCTTTGTTTCGCGATGGGTATTGTTAACGATTAATGAGATAACTATTATTTTTGTGAGTGTTTATAGAAAATAAAGGGGGAGAAAAAACGTCAAATGAGAAAAAAAAAAAATCGGGCGACTTCACAAGTGCCCAACTACTCAGTTGTCGTGTCAAATCAATCCTGCTACTTTTGCCACGTATTTTGAAACCATTACTCCTTAATAACGTTAAAAACTTGTGGCTGATTTCTGGTCGTCATCCCAAACGGCTAATCCTCTGTAAGTCCCATTGCAAGATAGTCCAGAAAGCCGCAAACTATTACGTGTCATTGTTCCATTGGTTCTTGTCAAAGGCTTTTGGGAAGACACATACTTCAGCCAGATGCGAGTCCCTGGTCTTAAAACCCGACATTGCAGACCCGCAATTTCAAACTTGCACGCAAGTTTCTCCATTTTTTTTTTTTTCTCGTCTTCGATTTTTAAAAAAATAAAGAACCCATTTTCTTGTTTTTAATAGACTCAAAAAATTAAAGAAATCAGAATTATAGTACAATTTTCAAATAGAGAAAAGATCAGCAAAGATAAAAAAACATGGCGGTGTTTCTAGCTACTGCTGCTTCTGCTGCCCATATAGCAACTTCTTTTATTGCATCCTCACAAACAAGCAAAGCCCACCTTTTCATTTCTCCAAGGAAGAACCTTACTCCAAGAAAAATCACAAAGCTCACACCTCGCGTGGCAGCTCCACCATCATCATCAGCAGGACCAACTTCGGATCAAAAACAAGAAGAAGAGTATATGGTAGGTGATGAGTTTGGTGAAGAGAGTTCAGATTCTAAGTTTTCATGGAAAGATCATTGGTACCCGGTTTCTTTGGTTGAAGATTTGGACCCAGCCTTACCAACCCCGTTTCAGCTTCTGGGTCGTGACTTAGTGCTTTGGTTTGATAAAGGAAGGAATGAATGGGTTGCTTTGGATGATAAATGTCCGCATAGGCTTGCTCCTTTATCTGTAAGTTTCTTAATTCTATTTCTAGACTCTGTTTTGATCAGATCTTGGTTGCTACTTATTTGGTTTTTAATAAAAATGAAGAATTTGGATTGAAATTCTACTCAAAACATACTGCAGCGTCTAGATTTTTCTGGTCCTTTAGTCTTCTATTCACTGCATAATCTAAAGTTCAAAAGTTTGGTTGTCTTTAATTTGCGTATTAGTATCAGCTGCTAAATGAAAAAAAAAAAGTTGTTGGTTTTGATTGGTTTCTTTGAATTTGTAGGAAGGGCGGATAGATGAAAATGGGCACTTGCAATGTTCATATCATGGGTGGTCTTTTGATGGATGTGGATCTTGCACCAGGATTCCTCAGGCTGCATCTCAAGGTCCTGAAGCTCGTGCAGTTCAGTCTCCAAGAGCATGTGCTACTAGGTTTCCCACAATGGTGTCTCAAGGCTTGCTTTTTGTTTGGCCTGATGACAATGGTCAGGAAAGAGCAAGTGCCACCAAGCCCCCCATGTAAATCATTGCATCTAATTTTATTATCTGTTTGTGATTCATCGACTAGATCAATTACTGGACCAGATGATCTAGGTGAATATCTTGATGAGACATCATTCTTATGATTTTCAGGTTGCCTGATGACTTTGAAAAACCTGAGTTTGCCACTGTGAACATTCAGCGTGATCTGTTCTATGGTTATGATACCCTCATGGAGAATGTCTCTGATCCTTCCCACATTGATTTTGCACATCACAAGGTGCTTTTACTAGCTTTATGAGTTGAAAGATACATCATGTTATAGTGATGAGTTGAAAGATTCATTATTTCCAAGTGAAACGAAGTGTTTTTTTTTTCTTTTTTGTGCCATGACTTTTTTAGCTTTCTCATTTCCTGGCTTGGTTAAGACTTGATTTTTGTATCTTGGCTAATAGTATCTATTCACCAATTTGTTTTGATGTTAAGGGACCGAGTAATTATTAAGATGAAGCTTCCTTGAAATTTCAAGTGTTCGTTTTATAAACACACTTTTCAATAGGGCTTTAACCACTGAGAACTCAATAAGATTACTTAAATTAACACTGTCTAATCCTAGGCAATCTCTTGCTTTCAACATCTAATTAGATCAAAGACTGAAGATATTTTAACATGTTTCTTTTGGTACAAGACCACATTTTCAAGTTTCTGTAATTATTTGAAAATATTTTATTTTGAAACACACTGGCTCTTATGGTTGTTGTAATGTTGTTTCAATCCCTAGTCTTAGTTTTGGAAAAGAACAAAGTCGCGAAACATAATTCATTTATTGCTGACAACTTTTCTGCATTGTAAAACGCAGGTTACAGGGAGGAGAGACAGAGCCAAACCTTTGCCATTTAAGGTGGAGTCTAGTGGCCCTTGGGGCTTTGGTGGATCAAATGAGGGTAATCCGAAGATCAGCACTAAGTTTGTTGCACCATGTTATTATATGAATAAGTAAGTTCATTAACCATTGGCTGTGTTTAAGATTTAAAATTTCAATGCTTCTTAGAGTAACTTCTTTCCCATGTTACCTAAAGGTTTCATGAATTTTATATTTCTCTGTCACTGTAAAACTCATACCATACACTGACATACAAAAACTTAAGTTAAATTGAATGCATCAAAGATTATTGTCAAAGGCTTGCCTTTCAAAGTTTTAACTTTTAAAGTCTATTATGCCTTTCTCTTTTGCTGCATGTCTTTCATGCGTATAATCAATTTTTGTTGATAATGAGGACCAAGTTGCTTTGACACTGACTAATGGCTCATTTTCTCTTGTATTATTGTCCTTAAAAGTTTTGTGAATCTTCTTTCAAATTTATCATACTTGTGCCATCTATTCCTGCAGAATAGAGATAGACACAAAGCTTCCTATTGTTGGTGAGCAGCAATGGAAGATATGGATATGTTCATTCAATGTACCAATGGCTCCAGGGAAGACACGATCAATTGTTTGTAGTGCTCGAAACTTCTTCCAGTTTACAGTGCCAGGGCCTGCCTGGTGGCAGGTGAGTACTATTTCCTTGTGCTTCTAATGCATATGTTTGTGTCTGATGTTGCAGTTATATGAGGATCTTTACTCCTTCCTATATTTCTTTCATGATGTTTCCCGTGGCCCTATACCTTACTTCTTTTCTACGTACATTATGTTAGAGCTTCTTGCAAGGTTTATTCAACATGGTCTATTTTATTGTTTCGTTTAGTTGAAGTATATAAACCTGTCTGTAATCTTGTGCTATGTTAATGAGTAGACTATACCCGAGAATTGTAATGCGCTTGGAAATTTTGCACAAAGAAACCACGGATTTCAGATACCCTTGATGATAAACGATGCCTGTATCAACTAAACCACAAATTTAGCCAGCATCTAGGTTCCTGATCAGAGTTTCACATTGAGAGAAAAGCCTTGATTTCAGTACCCAAGTTTTGCTATGGTTCATTTCTGTATAAATTGGTAAGTCAATCATTCTGGCTTCTCGGTTCAGGTGCTTCCTAGATGGTATGAGCATTGGATTTCAAACAAGGTCTACGATGGGGACATGATTGTACTTCAAGGTCAAGAAAAGATATTTCTTTCAAAGTCAATGGAGAGTTCAGAGGATGTAAATAAGCAGTACACGAAGCTGACATTTACACCCACACAAGCTGATCGCTTTGTCTTGGCATTTCGAAACTGGCTAAGGCGTCACGGCAACAGTCAACCCCAATGGCTCAGCACCAGCGTCCAGCAACCTCTCCCATCAACAGTATTATCAAAACGCCAGGTATAGAAAACTTGTAATTCACTGATATTCACAACAACAGCTTCTTCTGAGCATGTTCTGAAATATTTCGTTACCATTTGCAGATGTTAGATAGATTCGAGCAACATACCCTTAAGTGTTCATCATGTAAACAAGCTTACACATCATTTCAAACATGGCAAAAGATCCTAATCGGCACAACAGTCGCATTTTGCGCAACAGCCGGCATTCCTTCTGACATCCAGCTCCGGGTTGTTTTAGCTATGCTTGCACTGGTTTCTGCTGGTTTGGCATATGCATTGCATCAACTACAAAAGAACTTTGTTTTTGTTGATTACGTGCACGCCGAAATTGATTAGAACAAGTTTGACTAGAAAATTTGAGTGTAAATGAACAAAATGCTGACCAACGGAACTTGAAACAGTTTTTGTTTTTATTTGTTTAAGTTTATTATTAATCTTAACAAATAATTATATATAATATTTTAAAAATTTATAAATCTTTTTGTTTTAATTTTTTTTGTTCACTTTTTCTTTTTTGGAATGTTTCAAAATTATATCTTTTTTTCTTTTTACATATAAAATTTTTATTTTTTATATTTTCAAATTATTTTTTATGTTTTTTTTCTACATTTTAATGTTAAAAATTATGAAATTTTAATTTTGTCAAAAAATTTTTAATTTTAATATTAAATAGATTAAAGTAAAAAAAAATTAAATGCCATAAAAATTAATATATCTCAAACATTTTAAGACAAAAAAAAATAAATAAATCATAAACATTATAACAATATTTAAATTTAATTAATTTAAATTCAATTATAATTAAACAAAACATTAAATAAACAATTCATAAACAAATTCAATTTTTATTTATTTATATTTATAACTTAACCATCAATTGTAAATAATAAATTAAGCAAATAAATCACAAATATAATAAATATATTTATATTTAATTCATTTATCTCTAACCAAAAATATCCAAAGACTGAAAATTTTCCGATTAAGCTCAGAAAATTACAAAAAACCCAACTTAAGAAAACATCCTAGTACTAATTTTTACAACCAAACCATATTTCCAAAATACCCTTATTATTTTTCAAAACCTAAGAACTAGTAAACTTAGTAACAGCCTTAGTCCCTTCCGAAACAGCGTGCTTGGCCAGCTCCCCAGGCAGAACCAACCTCACAGCCGTCTGAATCTCGCGCGACGTAATCGTCGGCTTCTTGTTATAACGGGCAAGCCGGGAAGCCTCCTGAGCAAGCTTCTCAAAGATGTCATTGATGAAACTGTTCATAATCCCCATTGCCTTGCTCGAAATCCCGATATCAGGGTGGACTTGCTTCAGAACCTTGAAGATGTAGATCTTGTAGGTTTCGACGCTCTTCTTGGCTCGCTTCTTCTTCTTGTCAACTGCTTCTTTAGGGAGTTTCTTCTCGGCTCTCGGCTTTTTCTCGGCAGCTGGAGCCTTCTCGGCTTTTTTCTCTTCCACTGGCTTCTTCTCTGCGGGTTTCTTCTCGGCTTTTGGCGCCATTGGGAATTGATTTGAAAATCTTGTGCTGGAATGAGAAAGGAAGGAGTGGAGGGTGAATATATATAGGGGAGAGGAGTGAGATATGATTGATGGATTCTGGCTTGCGAGGATCAATGACGTGGAAAGTAGGCACCGTTGGATTTGAGAGGATGGAATTGGACGGAGTGGATTGTGTCTTGTCGTCTTGGAGGTTTAAATATTCAAGCGGGATTTATTTCGTTTACATTTTTTAATTTTTTGCCGAATTTTTATCAGTTTGGCGGGTGAGCTATGGATGGGTGAAAATGTGAGCACCAGTCATATTTTTCCACGTGGAGCCTGAAGAAACCCTTTTTTTTTTTTTTCAAACGTTCTAGCGGTAGCTGCTATTTCAACCGTGCAACATCACGTTTATTTGAAAAGCCACGTCATACTCACCTGTGAGCTTAGAATAAAACTGATGTATAATAATAAGTTTATCTCACTAACTCTATTTTTTTTTATCTATTTATAAAATAATTAAAAAATAAAAGGAAAATTTAAAAAATGAAGACAAAGTTGATTCTAAAGTTTCAACGAAATAGAGAAAGAAATATTCAAATTTTCTTGCTTATTTGGTATTCTTTTTAGGTGAAATTAGTTATAAGCCAAGATAAATCGATTTTTTTCCTGTAATTTCCCAAGAGCCCTTTGTAATCTATTTATTTTTGAAGGTTTAACATTAGTTTAGTGCAAATTCTGTTTGGGCAATATTTTTCAATGAAAATTTGAGTTAGAATTGGGGTTTTATCGAGCTAATAAACCACTTTTACAATTAACACTGCTATAGATCACTTAGGCACTTACAATTTGGAGGTCTTACAACAAACACCATGTTCCCTTGTCCAAACCTATTGGGGTTTGCCCGAATTACCAAGCACAAATTATTACAAGTTTCATTTAATTTGGTAATAGTCAGTAGGAATTGTGCATTGGTAGGTAGAGACTAGCCATAAGAATAAAGGTTTTTGTGTCATGGAATTCTTTACTTGAACAACACTTCAAAAAATCAACATCCCATATGTTGAATTCAGTTCTTGTTTGGTAAAGAAGATAAAAAAGGAAAATGATGAAATTCTTTTATCTGATGGTTGTGATCTTTAATCATATTTACAACTCAATCTTTGAAGTCAAATTTCTATTTAATTATAAAACGTTAAAAATTCATGATACAATTTTACTGGTTGTAGACAATTATGTAACAAAACCCTAGAAGTATATGATTAAGTAAATTTAACTATTAGGTAGTAGATTTTTTTTTTATTATAGCAAAGTTATCATAATGATATCAATCGGTAACATAGTATATATGAATTTTGAAAAAATTTTGATACATTAGGATTTTTGTATCATTTCATTTTTTGTATCAATTGTACCGACTCATACTAATCATTTTGAACCATTTCAACCCATACAAGATTTTGTTTCCCTTTTTTTTTTTTTAATCTTTTCACTTTTTTTATTCGTTGAATCAATTAGTAACGCTTTTTTCTCTTACGATCAAATTTACTTTTGTAATTTGATGTAAAAATAAAATATATTCATTAAATTAAGCTATTGAACCTGTTAAATAATAATTTACTATATTTTTCTAATATTTTATATTTATTTTATTTATTTAATGTCAAAATGTGATTTAACCGAGTATATATTATGGGTGTTAATCGTTAGCCTTGCATAAAATTAATAAGGCAACAAGTTTCAATTACTTGAAATCAAAACTAAAATTAAAATACCAGTACTATAGTATATGCATGATACTAAACATGGAATTCTATGTTTCATCGCATAAGTAAAATTGAGTATATACTTAAAACATAGAACTGGAATATTAGGAGGAACTACAAGGAAAAAAAAAAAGGAAAATTTCTAATGTATACATGGCACATACTATATTCAAGCCCGAAGTCCAGAGGAAGAGAAAAGAAAAATTGTAAGTGTTGGGATCGAATCTCAACCTTGTAAAAATACACCTATGAGATGACTGAACCGTTAGGGTAAGTGACGTGATTGATGCCTCAAAGCATTTATATGAAACTCAAATCCTTATGGAGCAAGCCTTGAACAAAAAACAGACCGCAGTCCAATCCATACTGATCAAGCCCTTTCCGTACAGTTGCGTTCTTCATAGTTCATCCCCTAGGAATACATATAAGCGGGACATGGTTAAAACTTAAAAACCCATTTTAGAGCACGAGTTAATTAACTTCAAAGTAGAATTCTTTTTCCTTGCAAAAGCACTTCTATGCATATTTACACAAGTTAAAATGCAGGAGTTTCAGGCACATTAGCATTTTCTAGACACTAGTGTTTCACTTGTATCGAATAAAAGAAATAAAAGGTTCATAAATTTTGAAATTTGTTGTTAAATTTGTCATATAGACATTTAATTACATTAAATAGAAAGAAGAGCATGGTATCTAGCTAGTACTAGTATTTATTTATTTAGTTATATTCAAGTGTTTCATCTTACCTATCATCTAGTTGCATGGTGGTGGGTTGGTTTTCGAGCTTTCCTGGTTTTGTCAAAGAATCAGTAACAAGTACTGGACTGTGCCCAACGAACAAAGCAACGTGACCCATAAGCTTATCTTTCCTGGAAAATGTGGTACCGCAAGAACATTGCCACTTGAGATCACCACAGTGCTTTTCATGAGTCCGGAGATCCGACAGCACCGAGAATTGCTTCCTGTTACATCGCTTGCAGACATACATCTTGGGACAATGGCTCCTCTTGTAGTGATTCTTCACGCAAATCATAGATTTCAATGGTTGGAACTTGGCATGTTTCTGGTTCCACCTACAACCTTCGTGAGGACATGAATATTTCTTAGGCAATTCCGTCGAATAGTTTGCAATAGCAGTATTTCCCTCGTGATTCTTCATGGGGTTAATCAAAGCAGCTGTTGTCTTGTATTGATCACCGTGAGCTCTCATGTGCATTCTCAAATTTGCGTCTCGCTTGAACCCTTTACCACAAACTTGGCAGTAATGTGTGTATTTAGCTAATAAGTCAGCAGCATTCAATTCGATTATATCACAATTATTAGCTGAAATCCTATGCGACCCTTTACTTATTCCGCTTCTTCGAGTCAATTCAGCCATTAATTCTTTCCTTTCCAGCTTATCATCGTTGCTAACTTGCAAACTTCGAGTGCTATTGCTATTGTTGTTGTTACGGTTATTGCAGTAATCGCCATACCAGCTAATATTTTCAGTACGAGAATAAAAGCCTTCTCCTCTTTCTTGAACTACGTTATTATTAGTAAAGTTTGGATGTTGAGATATCCCATTATCAGGAATTACCCTAACATGCTGCTGGTGCAATTCAGTTGTGGTATTGTTACCTGAAGTGGCTCCAAGCGAAATTTGTTGGCAAACAAATATCATCGAAGACGCTGCTACAATGATTTCTTGAACAAAAGAACCCATGCTTGCTATGGCTAAAGACGTTGACTCAGGATGGGTTTGATCTGGAGAGATAAGGATGCTAACAAGTGATTGAACCTGACGAACTTTATCTTTAAGGATGGAGAGATTATAGAGGAGAGAGCTTGAAAGAGCCTCTGGGCCTGAATCAGCTGCTTCAAGGGACGATGAAACAATGTCTTCTGCAGCCACAGGATACATTGGCAAACCTTGTGATGGATTCGGGAAACATGAAACCGCCCCTGATGAAATCATTTTCAAAATCTTTGCTTACACGATCACCCAGCCTCAATTTGTCTCTGATGGTAGCTTTATCTTCCTTGGTTGGGATTCGAATGGCTAAAAAGCTTGTTTGTAGGTAATATAGGGAAAGGTACGTACACGAAAACCGTTTCGTTTTTGAAGATGAGCGAAAACAAACATAAAATTTGTTTAAGAAAATTAAGAGCTTCAAGTCAACTTAAGAGCTTCTGTTCATCCCCACTTAAAACCCTCCTCACATATTACTAATCTCACAATTATAATAACACTTGAATAAAGAAAAAGTCCATGAGAAAGTCGGCAAACATGCGTTTTCATAGTATTATATTAAATAAACAAGATTAAGAAACCAAAATAACCCTATTGCTGTCATGAATTTATTGGCAATACTTTTCTTTTTACATGTAGATGTATGACATCATATATTGCATCACGTCAATCTCTTCTCTTTATTTCTCCATTAAAAAAAGCAGCTTTTTAGTCTTTGATATCAATCTCTCTCACGCATGACTTGAAGTATTCAAATTGATGAAGCTTACCCATTCGGATAAGAATAAAACCTTAATTTTTTCCTCATATTTGGCATCACTCATAAGCTCTCTATCCTTCTGAAATTGAAACTCTATAGCGAGTGTAGATGAAGGGAAAGAAAAAAATTTTCACGGATCCAAACAAGTAAAATAGCTAGAGAAGCTAAATTTCATGTTTTTGTTGTTAATTTGTTCATAAGTGGCATTTAGCACCAAGCTGATGAGATGTTGGAAAATGGCTTTCGCCTCCATTTACCAAATTTGAGTGGTTATACCTGTTCAACACAAATGAGGATGTTAGAAATAATCATACCTTGAATTAATGAGTCAGCTAGCCAAGCATCTTTATAAATAAATAAATATATATGGTCTTTTTTTTAATTTTTTTTTAAAGTCATAACTTAAAAACATGAAAAGAAGTTGCAGATGTTAAATTTGAATAGAAAATTTAATAAATACTATATTTTAAGAATAATTAGATGATCCACTTGAGTTTAATACATATCTTCTTCTCTGCTTTCTTTTCAGTTAAGCTATAAAATAATGTTTGACCAATTCTAGTGGCTATATATAATTAATTGATTAGGTAGATAACTAGATATAAAGTATACTTAAACGAATAATAATATTTTTGAAAACATCAATTTTGTGGAAATTCAGAGATCCTCCCTGATTAATATATATTTACTACTTTACAAGGATTAATCTAGGAGTTGGTTTTTTGTATGTTCAATCACTTCTCAATTCCTATTTCAAGCTTTCTTATTGTAGCTAGGGTTCCTCAGTCCTTATACATATAATGAGAAATGATTAATTTATATCAGTATAAAATTTTTAATTTTTAATTTTTTTAATTATTAATTTCAATAGATGTACTAGAATAAATAGAAAGAGAAAGAATTAATTTATACTAGTGTAAATTTTTTTTACATCTTTTTGTAATCATTAATTTTAATAGATTCAAAGGATGAGACTAAAAAATTAAAAATAAAAAATAATTTAATTTTATCTTTTAAATCTATTGAAATTAGTAATTAAAAAATATAAAATTAAAAAATTTTATGCTACTATAAATTGATCCCTAGTCATATATATATATATATATTGTTGCCTTATATGAAAGTGATCGAATGAGTCATGCCCCAAAGAATTTTTATTTATTGATTTAATTTTCAGGGAGCAAAGAATGTGTGTGCAAGCATATATAAATTTTAAAGAGATCAGATCATATCAAAAATAATTTCAAGGCATTGTGTATTAATATAAGTTGATTCACTGTTTTTTTCTTTTAGTTTCAATCTCAAATATCAAGTGGATGTACATGTTTCATTATAGTCCATGATTTATTAGAGGTGAGTAAATGGTCAGTTCATTCGGTTCGGTTTAAAAAAATCAATAATCAACTTTTATTTAATAAATAATTGAACCGATCGAATATTATTAAATAACCGATCATAATCGAACTGATCAAAATCGGTTTGATTCGATTAAATAATCGATTTTTTTTTATTATTTTTTCTTCATATTATAAATAATTATTTAACCACAAATTTAATTCAATAAAATTCAAACTCTAGTATTATTCAAACTAAATTACTAAAGAATTTAATAATTTCAATAATATTTTACAAAAAAAATAAATAAAAATATTTATCTCAAATTTTTTTATTTTTAATTATTAAAAAGTCTGGTTAATTCGGTCAGTGCGATTATCAATTTTAAAAACTGAAAACCGATCGAATTAATTAATTCTTTTTTTTCCTCTCACAGGTTTGAAATATATATTTTTTATATTTGATAGAAATTAAATCCTTACCACTAAAATTAAGAATTTAATACTTTACTAACATATCCCATAATTATTAACAAAGTTTGAAATATTAATTTATATATTATAATAAAAATATTAAAATTTTATTATCTCATATATATTAAATATTGAATTTACTTTACTAATATTAAAATTAAACTACTTCATTTATTTTCAAAGATTGAATTCTTAACAAAATTATATATTTTAATTATATAATAAAACAAAGAAATAAAAAATCAAATATAAAGGCACAAAAAGACATCTATATAGAGAAAGAGAAATTATCAAATACATTGACAGTAAAGTTTTTTAACTCTACAAACGAGATTAAAATAATGATACATATTTTTTATGTATTTAAAAATATTAATTTAAAAAAAAGTGAAACATGTGTCATAATTTTAAATCTACTTGTAAAATTAAAAAATTTCATTATAAATATATCAAATAATTTCTCATATATATATATATATATATATATATATATACAAACACATATATACGTCAGCTAAGAAAAAAAAAGTATGTACAGAAATATATGTATTATGTATTTATTTATTTAATTATTCTTGCAATAAATCTAAAGTTTTTCTGATATTTCAACTTAATTTAATATTAGACAAAGACGTGGAGGTTTTAGTTTCTACTTGTTCTTTCACATGGGAAACGGGTACCTTCGTGATTAAGGATGTGAAATAAACCTGATTATTAATGAAACAATTAATCATATATATATATTTGAAATTTTTAATGTACTTTTAAAATTTTTTATTATTTATTCGATAAAAAAAAATATTATGCACAAATTTTTTTTAAATTCATAATTTTTAAATATCAATTTTAATAATATACTAATTAATCTAAAAGATAATTGGCATTAATCATATATCTTCAATTATTTGAAGGAGGTTGGTTACGTAGTTCTGTTTGAATACATCAAATAATTTGCGACGAAAATTAGTGCCAACGACTTGGTGATAACCACAAGTTATGGACTTTGAAATTTGAACCCCTCCCTTCTAGTTACGTCAAGATAAAATTAATTTATTTTATACTTTTTTTTTTTTATAATTTTACATACAACTACTATTTTTATAAATTGATAGTTGATTTAATAATTTACTTGTATCCATCATCCACAAAAAAATTTCAAGTTAATTTAACATTTATATAATTTTGATTAAAATTAATATTTTTTAATATACATTAATAGTTAAAATTTTATTGTAAATCATAAAAATTATTGTTTGAATTATTAAAATAAAAATCGTATAAAAAATACTAAAAATGTAATACTAAATTAATTTTACATAAATGGATTCTTTATATATATATATATATAATATTTGTGGCTTGCGGTAATAAAGCATTATTCTTTCTGGGCAGACTGGAACTAATAATAGATTTCCTTATCACCATAGTCAAATTAAATTTAGATAAATACTTTTATATCAAATCACAGATAGTTACTCACATTTTACTTCTTCAATTATTTTCAATCATAATACAGTATTATTGCATACATTTATACATTTATTATACTTGAATTCAATTATTTTCAATGATAATACAGTATTAATGTATGTATTTATACATTTATTATACTTGAACCATGTTTCACGTTAGAGATAATTAGCAAAATCAATTTTATAAAATGATTGTAAGCAAAGAAAAGGCAACAATGCAGAGAACCAAAGACAAGACATATACAGTTTGAGGATTAGGAATGTAAACAATATAACGTTTGATGAATTATTTATGAATATATTTAATTTTTATTAGTTTATATTTATTTATTAAATTTAATAAATAATATTTTTATGTTCGTTTATTAAATGAATCATATAAGAATAAAAGTTTATTTGATTAGTTTATATTCAAAAATAATTTTGTTTAAAATTCGTTTAAAACATATTCATTTATGGTTCATTTATTATTTAGTAATAATAATAATAATATTATTATATTTTTATCTTTTATCCTAATCTTATTTTAAATTCATTTATATTTATTTAAGTTCGTTTATATTTGTTTAAGATTTATTTATTTAAATTGGTTTGATTGTGATCCAGGATAGTAATGGATATCTGTCATTATCCAATTCATTTATGTCAAATTCGGATAATTATAATGGATAATTAACGAATTAAGATAGGAGATTTATTATTCATAACGGATTTCGATAAGATATGAATAGTATCATCCAGATATCTAATATCTGAATCTTTTTAAATTTTAATTAATAGTAACAAATATTGAATTTGTATACAAATTAATTATGTGCTTACATATGAAAAATATATAATATTTAATTTTTGTGGAATGTTTCAAATCTTAACAAATAACTTTTATTTATTATTAATTAAGAGTGAATTTTAATTTTAAAATGAATTTTTGTTTATTTTATATTTTGATAAAAAATTTAAATAAACGAATATTTTAACAAATTTGAATATTTAAATGGATATAATTTATTTAAATAGATTCAGATTTGGATAATAGTACTAAACTTAAATGGATATTTAAATTGATAAGGATATCTAAAAAATAGCAGATGTATGCTCTATTGTCATCTTTTGTTATGCTTTGTTTATTATTTATGAACATGTTAGTTTATATATATTTTTGTGAACATATTCGTTTAATTTTCATAAATGAGTTCATTGAATTTAATCGAGTCAAACACAAATCGAACACGAATATTTTATCATTTAAATGAATGGAAATAAAAAAAACAGAGCAATTTTCTTATCAAACACGAACAAAATTCGAACAACTCTAAAAATAAATAAAAAATTCATAAAAATATATTTATTCGCTTATATTCGATTCGTTAATATCCTTATTCAGGATCATAGATTTTGGTGGAGTTTCTACATGTTCAGGAAGTACTATTGGACAATACAAGTGTTGAGCGAAACTATTATATAGTATATATGTTATGATCACAATTAAATCTTTTAATTTTGTCACATATAAGATAAAAATTGAATATGACGTGAATACTTATATGTTTAGTTGAATTTTAATATTTTAATACATAATTGATGTAAGATTTATGATTCTTTTATTGGGATCATAATATCTTTTCTTACGCCAACGAAGATCTGTCATTTTCACTTGCACATGG